TTTTTTTTTTTTACATTTTTTTTTTACAATTTTTTTATTCAATATATTTTTTTTTATTTTTTAAATTTACATACATTTATATATTTTTTTTTATATTATATTTTTTAATATTTTTTTTTTTTTTTTATATTTATTATTTTTTATATTTTTTTATTTTTTTTTACATTTTTACAATTTTTTTTTTTTTTTTTTTTGTTTTTTTTTTTTTTTTTTTAAATTTTTTTTTTTTTTGTTTTTTTTTATGTAAAAAAAATTTTTTTTTTTAAATAATATTTTTATATATATATTTTTTTTTTTTTTTTTTTTTTGCATTTTTTTATATTTTTACAGAATATTCAAAAATATTTTGAAATATTTTTAGAAATATTTTTTTTTAAAATTATTTTTTTCAGATTTTTTTTTTTAAATTTTAACAGATTTTTTTTTTATTTTTTTTTTTTTTTTTTTTTTTTTTATATTTTTTTTTTTTTTTTTTTTTTTTAGATTTGTTTTTTTTTTTTTTTTTGCAGTTTTTTTGAAATTTTTTTTTTTTTTTTTAATTTTTTCATACATTTTGTAATAAAACCGCATTTTTTTTTTTGTATTTTTTTTTTATATTATTTTTTATTTTTATATTTTTTTTATTTTTATATATTTATTTATATTTTTTTTTATTTTTTATTTTTTTTTTTTTTTATATTTAAAAAAAAATAAAAATTTTTTTTTTTTTTATATATATTTTTTTTTTTTTTTTTTTTTTTTATTACAAAATTTTTATATTTTTTTTTTTTTTTTTATTTTTTTTTTTTTTTTTTTTTTTTTTTATAAAAAAGTAATTTTAACATATATTTTTTTATATATTTTTACATATATTTGTAAATGCATTCCAAAAACGTAGATTTGTATTTTTTTTTAATGACGTGCAGTTTATTTGAAATGTATTTTTTTTTTTTTTTTTTAAATTTCATACATTTTGTAATAAAACCCGCATTTCAACATGCAGTATATATATATATATATATATATATATATATATATATATATATATATAATTGAAATATATTTTGAAATATATTGAATACGGCCACAATTGTAGCATTTCAACATGTCAATATATTTGGGAAGAACATTTTTTAAATATATTTCAAATATATTTTTCTGCCATGTGGGTGACTCCGACGCAGAAGGTTTGTCTGGTCCGTGACGTCTTCATCCAAACCCGAATCTGTACTGAACTATTTCAGGTGAGTCATTGGACGGAGCAGCATTCTTTCCAGGCCAGGCTTGACAAGTCATTCTCTTCCCGATGATTTGTCCTGAGGGAACCGCCGCTAATTACCGCGATCCTCTGCAAGCCGTTAATTAACCGAATCGCTCTGCGTGCCGGAAAATAGATGAGACCAGTTCCCTGTTACCACTTCTAGGACCATGCTGAGGCCTCCATACTGAAGGGAAGTCATTGTGTTTTTGTGCTTTTATAGACACCTACACTACATTGCCAAAGAAATTGTAAAACACTCCCAGCACACAGTTAACCCTTTGATTGCACCTCATGTTAACCCTTTCCTGCCCAGTGCCATCAGTACAGTGTTAGTGCTTTTTTTTTTTTTTGCACTGATCACTGTGTTGGTGTCACTGGGGATGTCAGTGACACCAAGTCAGTTCCCCCCCAGTGTCAGAATGCCCGCCGCAGTCCCACTATAAGTTGCTGATCGCCGCCATTACTAGTATTAAAAAATAAAATCCAGTATCTATACCACCATTAGTGGACGCTATAACTTTCACGTAAACCAATTAATTTACACGTATTGGGATTTTGTTTTAGCGAAGACACGGAGCAGAATACATTTTGTCCTAAATTTATGAGGAAATTTTCATTTTTAATTTTTTTTACTGGACATGTTTAATAGTCAAAAATATTGTTTGTTTGTTTTTTTCAAAATTGACTGTGTTTTTTTATGATGAAATTTGATTTATAATAGAAAAAAGTCCAAAATATTGTTTTTTCCTCAAAATTGTTTCTTTTTTTTTATAGCACAAAAAATGAAAAACGCACAGGCGATCAAATACCACCGAAAGAAAGCTCAATATGTGGGGAAAAAAAAATGTAAATTTAATTTGTGTGCGGGGTTGCATGACCGTGCAATTGTCAGTTAAAGTAACGCAGCGCCGTAATGCAAAAAATGGCCTTGTCAGGAGGGGGGAATCCTCTGGAGGGGGAGGGGGTAATAGACCCCTTACTAGTCCACTTCAGTAGGCATTTAACCACTTCCTGTCCGGCCCATGTATATAAATGTCCTCCCCGCCCCCTGCTTGTGCACGCTCCTCCGGACACAGTGGAACACCGATCACCGTACGGGACCTCTGTGTGAAGTCCCGATCATGTGATCACCGATTGGCCAAACAGTGATCACATGCAGAGTAGTAAGCAAGATGTCACTTCTGACATCATTGCTTACTACGTGTGAAATCTGTGAATGATCACATGGTACAGGGCTATTCACAACAGCCTTGTACCATGTGACAAGCTGTGACCAATCACAGCTCACACAGTATTTCTCAATGGCTGCAAGAATGCAGCCTTTATGGGTGTAAAAGCAATCAGTGTAAAAATAAATAAATAAATCTTCATCACCCCCCACAAGTAGTACAGTGTCACCATGGTGACCCTCACTGCTAGGGTGACAGTATGTAAAAAAAAAAAAAAAACATAAATAATAATATGAAAAAAAATAAAAATGTAAAAAAAAAAATGTTTAAATTCTAATTTTAGTTGTATTTGGGTTATTTTTTTTTTTTACTAAAAAGATAACGGAATACATTTTGGCCAAGATTTATGATGAAATATTATTTATTTGCAAAATTTCATAAGAAAAACACTTTTTTCCAAAAGGTTTGGACATTTTCATTTATATAGCAAAAAATTTTTTTATCGGTCTCAAAAAAATGCAAAAAAATTCATATGGGAGCAGTGTTGCATGACCGCGCAATTGTCATTCAAAGTGTGATAGCACTGAAAGCTGAAAATTGGCCTGGGCAGGAAGGGGGGGAAAGGGGGGGGGGGGGAAAGCGTCCGGACTGGAAGGGGGGGGGCGTCCCGGAAAGTGTCCGGACTGGAAGGGGGTGGGAAAGCGTCCGGACTGGAAAGCGTCCGGACTGGAAGGGGGGGGAAAGCGTCCGGACTGGAAGGGGGGGGGGAAAGCGTCCGGACTGGGGGGGGGGGAAAGCGTCCGGACTGGAAGGGGGGGGGGGGGAAAGCGTCCGGACTGGAAGGGGGGGGGAAAGCGTCCGGACTGGAAGGGGGGGGGGAAAGGTCCGGGGAAGGGGGGGGGCGTAAGCGTCCGGACTGGAAGGGGGGGGGAAAGCGTGGACTGGAAGGGGGGGGAAAGCGTCCGGACTGGAAGGGGGGGGGAAAGCGTCCGGACTGGAAGGGGGGGGAAAGCGTCCGGACTGGAAGGGGGGGGAAAGCGTCCGGACTGGAAGGGGGGGGGGGAAAGCGTCCGGACTGGAAGGGGGGGGAAGGCGTCCGGACTGGAAGGGGGGGGGAAGCGTCCGGACTGGAAGGGGGGGGGAAAGCGTCCGGACTGGAAGGGGGGGGAAAGCGTCCGGACTGGAAGGGGGGGAAAGCGTCCGGACTGGAAGGGGGGAAAGCGGACTGGAAGGGGGGGAAAGCGTCGGACTGGAAGGGGGGGAAAGCGTCCGGACTGGAAGGGGGGGAAAGCGTCCGGACTGGAAGGGGGGGAAAGCGTCCGGACTGGAAGGGGGGGAAAGTGTCCGGACTGGAAGGGGGGGGAAAGCGTCCGGACTGGAAGGGGGGGAAAGCGTCCGGACTGGAAGGGGGGGAAAGTGTCCGGACTGGAAGGGGGGGAAAGTGTCCGGACTGGAAGGGGTTAATAAATATCCAAAATATAGAATAATAAATCATGGCAGGGTATTGCTCAGACGTTTCCTAGGAGGGGGAGGGGACATCCAACAATGTAACATAAAGTAGCGATTACGCCAAAGTACAAGTAAAGGACCCGTAACGGCTACTGAAGGAAGGGTTTGGGCCACCATTCCGAGCGGGGGTTTGGTGTGTGGGTCAGGACAGTGCAATCAGATAGTACAGTGGGGGAGGGGAGGCCTTTTATCCCATGAAGAGCGAAATTTGGCACAATGTCTGCTGGTGTGAGCGCTGGAGGTTCAAGTCTTCAAGTGTCACTGAACCCCCAGCATTCTAATCAGTCTGTAGATGCAGGAAAGCATGCTGGTTATACTCACTGTGGAACCTAAGGGGTTAATCCTCTGCATTGTGTAAAAATGCTGTTTGATCCTGTCTTCTCTGATCCTCCCCTTCTTCCAGTGTCCCCTTCTTATCTCCTGATAAGACATAACGTGTGGAGACACTCTGCACATGCTCAGTTTGGTGTGTTCTTTTCTTTTTCTCAGGCAGGTGCATGTGATCAGCACAGGGCCAGACAGCACTGTCCAGACAGAGGTCAGGGGTTCTGCATCCTCCTAGAGCAAAATGAAAACTACTCCTACAAGCTTTAACCAGTACTCTGCCAGACACTGATAATAGTCACAAGACTGCTATATACTGTTGATGAGAAAAGGGGTTTAGCAGTTTATATTTACTAAAATAATTTCATTTCCATGTTCTGTGTACTGTGGGAGACCAGATATAGTGAATGCAGGGTCCGGGGAGAGCAGATATAGTGAATGCGGGGTCCGGGGAGAGCGGATATAGTGAATGCGGGGTCCGGGGAGACCAGATATAGTGAATGCGGGGTCCGGGGAGAGCGGATATAGTGAATGCGGGGCCCGGGGAGAGCGGATATAGTGAATGCGGGGCCCGGGGAGAGCGGATATAGTGAATGCGGGGCCCGGGGAGAGCGGATATAGTGAATGCGGGGCCCGGGGAGAGCGGATATAGTGAATGCGGGGTCCGGGGAGAGCGGATATAGTGAATGCAGGGTCCGGGGAGAGAGCGGATATAGTGAATGCAGGGTCCGGGGAGAGCGGATATAGTGAATGCAGGGTCCGGGGAGAGCGGATATAGTGAATGCGGGGTCCGGGGAGAGCGGATATAGTGAATGCGGGGTCCGGGGAGAGCGGATATAGTGAATGCAGGGTCGGGGGAGAGCGGATATAGTGAATGCAGAGTCCGGGATGAGCGGATATAGTGAATGCAGGGTCCGGGGAGAGCGGATTTAGTGAATGCAGGGTCCGGGGAGAGCGGATTTAGTGAATGCATGGGTCGGGGGAGAGCGGATCTAGTGCGGGAATGCGGGTGAATCTGGGGAGAGCGGATCTAGTGAATGCGGGGTCCGGGGAGAGTGGATACAGTGAATGCGGGGTCGGGGGAGACCAGATATAGTGAATGCAGGGTCCGTGGAGAGCAGACCCGGACACTGCGGAAAAATGCATCGGTGTCAACCTGGGGTTAATGTGAGCGACAACACAGGAACACAATGGGAAGATGGGCGAGAGTGTTGTCACCCTTTAACAGGAAGTGCCTGAATAAGGACCTGCATGGCAGGATCACCAGGTTTTTTTTTTTTTTAATGAAAGCTGCACATTTACAAATATTGAAAGACTGATGTAATAAAAGGCTTCTGCCAGTTTTTATTGGGCGGGTTTACACATATAATATTGAAAAAAAAAGAAAAAGGAAATTAGTGTTTGGGCCGGTTCACACTGCATGTGTTTCAGTTGCGTTTTTTCTGCATCCAAAATGAACAGAAAGTAGTAGACAGGAGCCAATTCACCTACCAGCATGTCTTTGGAGTGTTGGAGGAAACTGGAGTACCCGGAGGAAACCTACGCAGGCACAGGGAGAACATACAAACTCCAGGCAGGTGATGCCGTGGTTGGGATTTAAACCAATGACCCGAGTACTGCAAGGTGGAAGTGCTCACCATTTAGCCGTTGTGCTGCCTGTATAGATGTAAATACATTCCCCCCCCCTTTTTTTTTATAAGTGATCACATTCCCTCTGTTCTGTGCTGCATAAGGAGCTAGGGGAGGAGAAACTACAGAACACTGATCTTCCCTGTGAATGGCTAAGGGGGGGGGGGAAGGCATGTCAGTAGAAGTCTGATCATTGGAGGAGATCAGGCTGAGTTCTTAGCATTGCTAGAGAACTGACCACGCTGTGCTCTCATGCCTAGCGTGGTCAGTTTTTAATCGGACAACAGAGGGGCTGGTGGGAACATCAGGGATTTCACACAAAGATAACAGGATACTGGCACACAAGTACATGAATCATTGCTAGAGAACTGACCACGCTGTGCTCTCATGCCTAGCGTGGTCAGTTTTTAATAGAACAGCAGAGGGGTGGCGGGAACATCAGGGATTTCACACAACGAGAACAGGATACTGTCATACAAGTACATGGATCATTGCTAGAGAACTGACCACGCTGTGCTTTCATGCCTAGTGTGGTCAGTTTTTAATAGGAAAGCAGAGGGGCTGGCGGGCCCCCCCCCCCCCCCCCCCCCCCCCCCCCCCCCCCCCCCCCCCCCCCCCCCCCCCCCCCCCCCCCCCCCTCATCGGGGATTTCACACAAAGAGAACAGCATACTATCATACAAGTACATGGCACAGCCGGCACAGGGATATAAAATGTTGGGAAATGTTCTATGCTCCCCCCCGGAATCGGACAGGGCTGGTGCCCGGGTGGGAGCGCCCCCCCCCGGGGATCGGACAGGGCTGGTGCCCGGGCGGGAGCGCAGCATCCTGCATTCTCTCAGGGTGGGTGGCGTTCAGCAGGAGAGGAAGCTGCAGCCGTAGCAATTCAATATGCAGCAGAGGAGTCACAGGCTGCGTCCCCCCCCGGTCAGGTTCAATGTAAAACCTCAGAGTTGTCCTGCTGGTGACGGAGGTGTACTGCGCTGGCATTGTCTCTTCTCTGCTGCAGGGAGAATCTCTCCTACAGCAGACAGACACTGACTGACAGGCTGGGACATCCCTCCCCCACTGCACCAAGGGGAATCCCTGCCATCCAACAGGGAGGGATCATCGCCTGCAATGCTACGCTGTACGTCACACCCCATCGCCCACATCTCATAGGGCTCTTACAAGACAAAACTAGTTGTTTCCACTTTTTTTTTTTTTTTAAATCTGCAGTTTTTGTTAAAATAGTCCCTGGTGATCCTGCCATGAAGGTTCTTTTTCAGACGCCTCTTCTGGGGTGACAACTGTCTCTCAATTGGGCTCACATTGCTCATGCATGGTTGTCACCATCAGGAAACATGAGAAATGCCATGCAGCTTGATCCAGCTATCCAGGAGAATTTTCAGGAATGTCCAGATCACTCCACTCCGTACACCGTGTTGTACATGACCACTCTTCGCCATATACTGTGTTGTACATGACCACTTCACTCCATGACTGTGTTGTACATGACCACTCTTCTCCATATACTGTGCTGTACATGACCACTCCTCTCCATGACTGTGTTGTACATGACCACCCTTTTCCATATACTGTGCTGTACATGACCACTTCTCTCCATATACTGTGTTGTACATGACCACTCCTCTCCATACACTGTGTTGTACATGACCATTCCTCTCCATGACTGTGTTGTACATGACCAGTCTTCTCCCCATATACTGTGTTGTACATGACCACTCCCACTCTCCATGTACTGTGTTATACATGACCACTCTCCATTTAATACACTGTTTAATACACTGTACTGTACATGACCACTCCTCTCCATACACTGTGTCGTACATGACCAATCTGTCGTACATCCTTCTCCATATACTGTGTTGTACATGACCACTCTTCTCCATATACTGTGTTGTACATGACCACTCTTCTCCATATACTGTGTTGTACATGACCACTCTTCTCCATATACTGTGTTGTACATGACCACTCTTCTCCATATACTGTGTTGTACATGACCACTCTTCTCCATATACTGTGTTGTACATGACCACTCTTCTCCATATACTGTGTTGTACATGACCACTCTTCTCCATATACTGTGTGGTACATGACCACTCTTCTCCATATACTGTGTTGTACATGACCACTCTTCTCCATATACTGTGTTGTACATGACCACTCTTCTCCATATACTGTGTTGTACATGACCACTCTTCTCCATATACTGTGTTGTACATGACCACTCTTCTCCATATACTGTGTGGTACATGACCACTCTTCTCCATGACTGTGTTGTATATGACCACTCCACACACTGTTTGTACATGACCACTCCTCTCCATACACTATACTGTACATGACCTCTCCTCTTCATACTCTGTGCTGTACATGACCACTCCTCTTCATACACTGTGCTGTACATGACCTACTCCAAACCATTCCTTTCCATACACTGTACTACCCTTGACCACTCCTCTCTATACACTCTGCTGTACATGAAAAACTCCAGACGTCTCTTCTCCATACACTGTGCTGTACGTGATAAAATTCCAGGCCATGCTTCCCCATACACTATGTTGTACATGACCTACTCCAGACCACTCCTCTCCTTATGCTGTACAGTATGTGACATGTTTCCGACCACTCCCATTCATGAGAGCTGTGCTGTACATGACCACTCCATTTCATACACTGTGCTGTACGTGACATACTTCAGACCATACCTATCCATACACTATGCTGATGTTCCTTAAACTACTTCTCTCCATATGTTGTGATGTGCATGACATACTACAGATTGCTCCTCTCTATACACTGTGCTGTATATCACATACTTCAAACCACTTCTCTTCATATACTGTGCTGTGTGTGATATACTTCACTTCATACCTCTCCTTACACTATGCTGCACATGACAAACTCCAGACCTTTCTTCTCCATACACTGTGCTGTATGTGACAAATTACAGTCCATGCTTCCCCATACACTATGTTGTACATGTCCTACTTCAGACCACTCCTCTCCTTATGCTGTACTGTATGCGACATGTTTTGTGAGCTGTGCTGTACATGACCACTTCATTCCATACACTGTGCTGTACGTGACATACTCCAGGTCATACCTGTCCGTACACTATGCTGACGTTCTCCAGACTGCCTCTAGATAGGCTGTAATGTACATGACATACTACAGATAGCTCCTCTCCATACACTGTGCTGTATATCACATACTTCAAACCACTTCTCTTCATGTACTCTGCTGTATGTGATATATTTAACTTCTTACCTTTCCTTACACTGTGCTGCACGTGACATACTACAAAACCACTCCCCTCCATATGCACTGCTGTACATAAACTCCAAATCCTTTCCCCTTTCCATACACTATGCTCAATCTACCCCAGGCTACTCCTCTCCATACATTGTGCTGTATGTGACATAGTCCAAACCACTCAACTCCATAAACTGTGCTATATGTCACATACGTCATACCTATCCTATCCATACACTATACTTAACACACTCCCAGATCACTACTTTCCATACATTGTGCTGTATGTGACATACTTAAGGCCATTATGCTACATACACTGGGCTGTACATCACATACTGCAAGCCATTATTCTCCATACACTTTATATATTGTACATCACATACTCCAGACTTCTCCTCTCCATACATTGTGCTATACCTCACATAGTCCAGACCACTCCTCTCCATACACTGTTCTGTACATCACATACTCCAGACCTCTCCTGTCCATACACTGTGCTGTATACAACATACTGCAGACCACTCCTCTCCATACACTGTTCTGTACATCACATGCTCCAGACCTCTCCTCTCCATACATTGTGCTATACCTCGCATAGTCCAGACTACTTCTCTTCATACACTGTGCTGTACATCACATACTCCAAACCACTCCTCTCCATACATTGTGCTATACCTCACATAGTCAAGACCACTTCTCTCCATACACTGTTCTGTACATCACATACTACAGACCACTCCTCTCCATATATATATGACATACATCATCATCCACACCTCTCCATACACTGTGCTGTATATGACATACCTCAGTCCACACCTCTCCTTACACTGTGCTGTATATGACATACCTCAGTCCACACCTCTCCCTACACTGTGCTGTACATGACATACCTCGGTCCACACCTCTCCATACACTGTGCTGTACACGACATACCTCAGTCCACACCTCTCCATACACTGTGCTGTACACGACATACCTCAGTCCACACCTCTCCATACACTGTGCTGTACACGACATACCTCAGTCCACACCTCTCCATACACTGTGCTGTACACGACATACCTCAGTCCACACCTCTCCATACACTGTGCTGTACACGACATACCTCAGTCCACACCTCTCCATACACTGTGCTGTACACGACATACCTCAGTCCACACCTCTCCCTACACTGTGCTGTACACGACATACCTCAGTCCACACCTCTCCCCTACACTGTGCTGTACACGACATACCTCAGTCCACACCTCTCCATACACTGTGCTGTACACGACATACCTCAGTCCACACCTCTCCATACACTGTGCTGTACACGACATACCTCAGTCCACACCTCTCCATACACTGTGCTGTACACGACATACCTCAGTCCACACCTCTCCATACACTGTGCTGTAAATACGACATACCTCAGTCCACACCTCTCCCTACACTGTGCTGTATACGACATACCTCAGTCCCACACCTCTCCCTACACTGTGCTGTATACGACATACCTCAGTCCACACCTCTCCCTACACTGTGCTGTATACGACATACCTCAGACCACACCTCTCCCTACACTGTGCTGTATCCGACACACCTCAGTCCACACCTCTCCCTACACTGTGCTGTATACGACATACCTCAGTCCACACCTCTCCATACACTCTGTGACCTTATCAAAATTTGCAGAAGGGGGGGAGGGGGTGTTAAAAAATAGGCGGTTGAACTGCAGTTTTACCACCACCCATCTTAACCTCACATGCTGGCCGGGGGGGTACACATGCCATAGCTGCTGCAATAATGACACCCCCATGTCTCATACTGCCACCAAATGCAATCCATTAAAATGATTGGACCCGTGCCGCAACCACCCGCGTGTAACGTACGGCACAGCAAAACAAGTGTCCTGGATCTCCCAGCCGCCCACCAACCGCCCTCTGAAAAGCCTGCTACTGGGAATCGCCTTTCAGAGGGGCAGCAATCCCATCCACAATGAGCCCTCAATGCTACTGATATCTGCTGTTGTACAGCGGGGGGGGGGGGGGGGGGGGCTGGGCTCCCCCTCCAGGGACGGACCGGCATTTCTTTTCATCCCACCCAACAATCCATCCATCCATCCCACCCAACAATCCATCCATCCCCCAACCATCCATCCATCCCACCCAACAATCCCATCCATCCATCCCACCCAACAATCCATCCATCCATCCATCCCACCCATCCATCCACCCAACAATCCATCCATCCATCCCACCCAACCATCCATCCATCAACCCAACAATCCATCCATCCATCCATCCCACCCAACAATCCATCCATCCATCCCCACCCAATCCATCCATCCCACCCAACAATCCATCCATCCATCCCACCCAACAATCCATCCATCCATCCATCCCACCCAACAATCCATCCAACCCACCCAACAATCCATCCATCCATCCATCCCACCCAACAATCCATCCATTCATCCATCCCACCCAACAATCCATCCATCCCCACCCAACAATCCCATCCATCCCATCCCACCCAACAATCCATCCATCCATCCATCCAATCCCATCCCAATCCAACCAATCCACCCAACAATCCATCCATCCATCCATCCCACCCAACAATCCATCCATCCATCATCCCACCCAACAATCCATCCCATCCACCCAACAATCCATCCATCCATCCCACCCAACAATCCATCCATCCATCCATCCATCCCAACCAACAATCCATCCAACATCCCACCCAACAATCCATCCATCCCACCCACAATCCACAATCCATCCATCCCACCCAACAATCCATCCATCCAACACACCCAACAATCCATCCTACCACCCAACAATCCATCCATCCCACCCAACAATCCATCTCACCCAACAATCCATCCATCCCACCCAACAATCCATCCATCCATCCCACCCAACAATCCATCTCACCCAACAATCCATCCATCCATCCCACCCAACAATCCATCCATCCCACCCAACAATCCCTGCGCTCCAGGACCATGGAAGCTCCTCCTTGTTTCCTTTCTCATGTCCCACATCTCCAGCAATTCCTAGAAAGCTGCCTACCCTGGAAGTCTGCCCAGATACAATGACATCATCCCTCTGTCCTGATTGGCTGGAATTTGTTTTGTTTTTTTTTTTCTATTGGTTGACAGCGCAGATGTTCTTGTATCCAGGCAGATTTTATGGGGGGTGAAAGTGAATGGTTGGGCCCCTTTCACAGCTGCAGACAGTTTGTCCGTTTATCATCCGTCCGTTAACGGATGAAATAAAAATGGACATCAGTGCATCCCTATGGCCCCTTTGACACGGGCGTTCCGGGTTTATTCATCAGTTCAGTCACGTTCTTTAAAAAAAAAAAAAAATGGATCAGTTCACATCAGTTTTTCATAAATTTACGTCCGTTTACATTAGTTTACATCCGTTTTAATCTGGTTTAATCCATCCACATCTGTTTTTCATCCGTTTACATCAATTGTATATCCATTTACCAGGGGTGGACTGACAACTCATAGGGCCCCCGGGGCAATAGGGGATCATGGGGCCCCTGTGTCCTTGCCCAAACTCAAAAAAGCCTATGAAAAAGGTACCAGGGGCATCTCATGGGGCCCCCTACTGACCCCAAGCCCTCGGACAGTGCCCAAGTTTCCAAACGGTCAGTCCGCCCCTGCCATTTATATTAGTTTTTCATCCGTTCAGTCATGTTTTTTCAAAGAAAAAAAAACTGATCCGTTCACATCCATTTTTCATCCGTTTACATCAGTTTTTCCATATGGTTTTTCATCTGTTTACATCTGTTTTTCGTCCGTTTTCATCAATTTACATCCGTTTTTCATCTGTTTACATCTGTTTTAATCCGTTCTAATCCGATTACATCAGTTTTCATCCATTTACATCGGTTTTTTATCCAGTTTCATCTGTTTACATCCGTTTTTCATCTGTTCTCTTTTTTTTGATCAGTTCAGTCACGCTTTTTCAAAGAAAAAACTGATCCGTTCACATCAGTTTTTCATCCGTTTTCATCAGTTTACATACGTTTTTTGTCTGTTTACATCTGTTTTAATCAGTACTAATCCGAATACATCTGCTTTTTGTCCGTTTACATCTGTTTGTCATCCGTTTTCATCAGTTTTTCATCCAGTTTCATCTGTTTACATCCGTTTTTCATCCATTCCATTTTTTTCATCAGTTCAGTCATGTTTTTTCAAAGAAAAAAACGATCCGTTTTCTTCATCCATTTACATCTGTTTTTCATCCGTTTACGTCTGTTTTTGTGTTTTTATGTACATTTTTCATCCATTTACATCCGTTTTTTGTCCGTTCTGTTTTTGCTTGGAAAAAACGTGACTGAATTGATGAAAAAAACAAACCTGGATCAGTTCACATTAGTTTTTAATTCGTTTTTTTTTTTCATCTGTTTTTCATCGGTTTATATCCGTTTACATCCATTTTTATTTGTTTACATCTGTTTTTCATCCATTTACATCCTTTTTGTCCATTCACATCCATTTTCAGCCGTTTTTTTTTCATCAGTTTATATCCGTTTTTCATCAGTTTACATCCGTTTTTCACCAGTTTATGTCTGTTTTTCATCAGTTTACATCCGTTTTCGTCTGTTTACATTCATTTTTCATCTGTTCCGGTTTTTTTTTAACAGAAGAAAAATAGGGTTTACTTTCGTTAAAAAAAAAAATGGATGTTAACGGATGCGGACATTAAAGAGCTCCCGGCCGCCCTATAGCAGAAATACTGCTACAGGGCGGCACAGGTGCGCAAAATCACGTGTGTGTATGTATATGTATATATATATACGTGATTTTGCATTTCCGGGTAGGGGGCAAGTGTGAGCCACACATGTGCCCTACCCGTGCCGCCATTCACAGCCGCTGCTGTCAAAGGGTCCCGCCTGGTGATTACCTGCCGGCGCCCGATTTTAACAGACAATCACTGGCGGGGAGGAGGGATGCTTTGTTTACTAACAGTCCTCCTCCCCGTCAGCTCGGGCACACTGCACAGCACAGCCATCCAGAGCAGTGTGATTACAGTGAAGCACACAGACCCTGCCCCCTAGTAAAACACGCCCAGCACACAGTTAACCCTTTGATCACCCCAGATGTTAACCCCTTCCTGCCCAGTGCCATTAGTACAGTGCCAGTGCTTTTTATTAGCACTGATCACTGTATTGGTGTCACTGGGGATGTCAGTGACACCAAGTCAGTTCTCCCCAGTGTACGAATGTCCACCGCAGTCCCGCTATAAGTCGCTGATCATTATTACTAGACGAAAAAATAAATCCCAGTATCTATACCGCCATTTGTAGACGCTATAACTTTCACATAATCCAATTCATTTGCACGTATTGTGATTTTTTCTTAGCAAAGACACGGAGCAGAATATTTTGGCCGAAATTTATGATGAAATTTGATTTTTTTAACTTTTTAACTGGACATGTTTAATAGCAAAAAAAAAAAATAATTTTTTTTCTCTAAACTGACTTTTTTTATAGCACAAAAACTAAAAACCACAGAGGCGATCAAATACCACCAAAAGAAAGCAATATTCGTGGGAAAAAAAGGATGTAAATATCATTTGGGTGCAGCATTGCATGACTGCGCAATTGTCAGTTAAAGTAACGCAGCGCTGTTTTCCTCTGGAGGAAAAGAAATGTAATTTCCAAACACGGAAAGGTTTCTTCACAGTAAGAGCTGTGAAAATGTGGAATAGACTCCCTCAAGAGTTGGTTGTGGCCAGCTCAGTGGATTGCTGTAGGAAAGTCCTGGATTGTTTCTTGGATACACAGAATATAACTGGATATAACATTTATAGGGAAAGTTGATCCAGGAAATATCTGATTGCCTCTCGGGGGGATCAGGAAGGAATATTTTTCCCCTGCAGGAGCAAATTGGATCGTGCTTTGCTGGGTTTTTTGCCTTCCTCTGGATCAACTGTGGGTGTAGGATTATAACTTTTTTCTTTTTAATGCTTGAATGGATGGACTTTTGTCTTTTTTCAGCCAGACTAACTATGTATCATAAAAAAAAGGCCTGGTCCAGAAGTGGGGGGGGGGGGGGGGGGGGGGGGGTAAATCCTCAGGAAGGCAAGTGGTTAAATCCTCGCCACACTGAAATAAACAAATGGGCGGGTCACCCCGCCCCCTTGTTTACTTTATAGGCGGGACTAGTGACAGTTCCTTCTCCTGATAAAATAAAGGGAAAAAAAAAAAAAAAAAAAAAAAAAAAAAGACAGCAAGTGAGGCAGCCTGAGTGTATACACTGCCCCTCTCCTGCCCCCTCCTTGCACACACTGCTCCTCCCCCCCATGAAGAGGACCTGTCACTTATATGTTATCACATAGGCAACTATTGGTCCCCATTAAAATAAGTTGAAAAAAAACACTTAAAAGTAAAAAAAAAAAAAAAAATTGGAGCCTGCCCACCCCTCAGATCAGAGACAGTCAACAGTCAACAGAATCAGGTTATGGAGTGCAGGACGTTATAGACCAGAAGGCATTGACTAAAGCAGGGCTTGAAAAAGCCACTCGCCAAATGCAGGAGAAATTCCTCTGTGGCGAGCGGCTGCGAGTACAGATGAAGAAGCATGGAGCGACTGCGCATGCGCTCCAAGCCTCATTGTGAAGCCGAGTTCCGGTTTACAACTTCCGGTTTCCGTGGCATCGCCATTACAGTGGCAGTGCCGCTGAGGGGACACGTGCAGGAGAGACCCGCTGTCCACCCCCGTGGGGGTGTCACGATATAAGGTCAGGTTCAGAGACCAGTTGCTACAGCAGTTGTAAGGCTTACCTGAAACCAGCAGGATTGGTACACCAGCGGCCCACCCTGGGAATGACGCAGGCTCACCTGAGGTGCGGGGTCTAAGCATCCACCGGTCTTCCCCAGAGCTCCTAATGGTGGAGATGGATTTGGCTGCGTGTGAATGCCAGGTCGCAGATCTCAGGATCACCCCACCAGGGAATGAGTAGGCTGGAAACCAAAAGCGGATCAAACAGTTCAGGGATCAAACAGAAGCGGAGTCAGTCACAAGCCAAGGGTCGGTCACCAATGGTAGTAGATAGGATGAGGCAGAATCGTAGTCAGTAGCAAGCCAAAGGTCGGTAACGTAGAGGAAGACGGCAGCAGGAACAGTAAGCGGGATATTGGCTGGTAAGGCACAATAATCTGGCAAGGAGGAAGTGGCTTTTATAAGGAAGTTCATGGGAGGAGCAAGGAGTTCAAGGTTCAAGAGAAATCAAGGCACAAGGCAGGATTATCCAAGAATTGTCAAGGGAGCTGTCCAGCATTCCAGATAGCTCAGTGAGAAGAGACATTGCCTCCCACTGCAGAAGGACCAAGTTCAATCCCAGGCTCTGACAGTACTCCCCTCCTCACAGGACGTCCCCTGGATGTCTTAGGACCAGGCTTGTGAGGAAACCTCTGGTGAAATTCTCTTGTCAATCTAGGAGCATGGACGTTTTCTTCAGGCTCCCAAGAATTTTCCTCTTGCCCATATCCTTCCCATTGGACAAGATACTGCAATTTTCCTCTAACATCTAGAATCAAGAATCTTCTCTACCACATATTCTTCTTCACCCTGTACCTCAACAGGTGGAGGAGGAGGAAGAATTCTTCCAGAGAAAGGATTTTCATGAAATGGTTTGAAAAGTGATACATGAAACACAGGGTGAATCTTCATACTGTCAGGAAGTTTTAAGCGAAAGGTGACTGGGTTGATCTGAGCAGAAATCTGGAAAGGTCCCACAAACTTTTGGCCCAACTTTGCAGCTGGAACATGAACCTTCAGATTTTTGGTAGATAGCCAAACCTTGTCGCCCACATGAAAGATAGGAAGTGATCTGCGATGACTGTCGGCAGCCCTTTTATAATTTTCCTGAGCCTTCCCCAAGGCTTCGTTTAACTTCGCCTGAATCTCCTGCAATGTAGTTAATCTGTTGGCAACAGCAGGAATTTGAGTTGTGATAGGGAGATCCGGGATAAAAACTGCATGATACCCCATATTGAGGAAAAAGGGGGCTTTGGGAAGTGGAGCTATGTTTAGCATTGTTATAGGCAAACTCTGCCGTAGGTAGATCGTCCACCCAGTCATCCTGAAGATAACTGACGAAGCACCGAAGGTACTGTTCCAAAGTTTGATTGGTCCTCTCAGTCTGACCATTAGATTGTGGATAAAAAGCAGAGGACAGGTTAACGGTTACCCCTAAAGCTGAACAAAAGCTTTTCCAAAATTTTGAAGTAAATTGTACTCCTCTATCAGATACCACATCATCAGGGATTCCATGTAATTTAAAAACATCTCGAACCATCAACTCCGCAGCTTGTTTAGCAGACGGTACCCCCTTAACCGGTATGAAATGAGCCATTTTAGTAAGGCGGTTGACAACGACCAAGATCGTAGTCATTTCTCTTGAAGGAGGTAATTCGACTATAAAGTCCATAGAAATTGACCCCCAAGGCCTTGATGGAACAGGAAGTGGTTGGAGCAACCCCAAAGGAGAAGCTCGGGGTGTCTTATGATGTGCGCATGTCAAACAAAGAGGCCACGTAGCTTTTGATATCTTTCTTATAACAAGGCCACCAGAAGGAACGTGCCAGAAGATCCTCTGTTTTTGACATCCCAAAGAGTCCCGCCAGTTCGGAGTCATGCACTAATTTCAGGACTTCCACCCGAGCCGACTCAGGTACATAGAGACGGTGCTCTAGAGTCCAAAACCCGTTCTTGTACTCAAGGTTAATGTCTCTAGGAGGATCACTGAGAAGTGGGTCGTTCTCATACCCCTCTTTGAGAAGACTCAAGAATGTCTTTGCACTTGTGGCCCCTAGAAAGTTCTTTTGGGTTAGGATCGAACATTCGGAATTACCCTCCTGGGGAGGCTCTGACAGCATCCTTGATAAGGCATCGGCCTTGCCATTCCTCGATCCAGGTCGATATGAAATGATAGAATTGAATCTGGAAAAGAATAGAAACCAACGTGCTTGTCTAGAAGACACTCTCTTGGCCGAGTGAACAAATTCCAGATTCTTATGGTCAGTGAGAACAGTTACAGGGTGATTAGCCCCTTCTAGCAGATGCCTCCATTCCGAAAAGGCTTCCTTAATTGCCAGTAGCTCTTTATTCCCAATGTCGTAATTTCTTTCGGCTGGAGATATCAAACGGGAAAAATAGGCACAAGGATGAAGCTGTATCTTTTCATCACTTCGCTGGGACAGGATCGCTCCCACGGCAGAATTGGAAGCATCCACTTCCACTATAAAGGGTAGTTCAGGATGTACCAAGATTGGTGCGGAAGTGAAAAGAGTCTTCAGCTTTTCAAACGCAGCTTGTGCCTCAGAGGTCCACACGAAGGGTACCCCTTTCTTTGTAAGTTGTGTGATTGGAGCTATCACTCTAGAGAAGTTTCTTATAAATTTTCTGTAGAAGTTGGCAAACCCGACAAAACGTTGAATTTCCTTAACATTTCTGGGTGCTGACCAATCTACCACTGCTTTGACCTTCTCGGGGTCCATGCTCACTCCCTCCGGAGAAATGATATAGCCTAAGAACTGGATCTGGGTTTGTTCAAACTCACTTTTCTCCAATTTAATGTAAAGTCTATTTTTCCTTAATCATTCGAAAACTGTGCAAACATGTTTGCGGTGCTCCTCCCAATTATCAGAAAAGAGAAGGATATCATCCAGATAGGCAATTACAAATTGGTCCAACAGATCACGAAAAACATCGTTGACAAAATGTTGAAATGTTGCAGGGGCGTTGCAGAGTCCAAACGGCATCACCAAGGATTCAAAATGCCCACACCTGGTTCTGAAGGCAATCTTCCATTCGTCTCCTTGACGAATGCGGACAAGGTTATATGCCCCTCGTAGATCAAGCTTGGTAAAGATCTTGGCAGAACGAAGTCTTTCCAACATTTCCGAGATTAAGGGTAATGGATAGCGGTTTTTAATAGTGATTTTATTCATGTCTTGGTAGTCAATGCATGGACGCAAGGTGGAGTCTTTCTTTTTAACGAAGAACAGGGCTGCCCCCGCAGGAGAAGTTGAGTGTCTAATAAAAAACCCTTTCCCAAATTATCATCGATCCACTCCCTGAGTACTTTTAGTTCAGGTTCTGACAGATTGAACAGGTGGCCAAAAGGTATTTCTGCCCCTGGGAGCAGCTCAATGGGGCAATCATATGGGCGAAGAGGGGGCAATTTATCTGCATTTTTCTTGTCACAGACATCCCGGAACTCATGGTAATGTGGGGGCA